GATAGGTCATTTTCCTCCTCGATTTTTTGAACAGATATATCATGTTAAGGAGGGGTATTTGCGAAAAATACCAGTCGAGAGAATGTTAAATTTCGCGAGCCGTAAGGCGAGGGAAATTCATTCTCAAGACTGGTATTTTTCGCAAATACCCCTCAAGAACATGCTATATCTGTTTAATTACACCGCATGTTAACGTTCAAAAACGCATTGATGATCGTGACGTTACAAGCGTCCAGTCGGATAGAGTATTTTTGGCAAATACCATGGCAGAGAGGGTAAAAAAGGCATATCCTTTTTGCATATACCCCGGCGGCGTTAAAAAATGAACGATATTCATTTGATAACAGTAAATTGGCGAAAAATACACTGGATATCAACCAATCAAAACCCAGGATTCTTACATAAGGTGTAATTATACTATCTATCATCGGCCTTAAGTGGTGATTAACATGATCAGTATACATAATTCCATACATAAAATAAAAGTTTCTTGCATACAAATTTATAGGAATGATTACATTACATGTATGTTTCATTATAACACGTTATTTTTAATGCTAACAGCAATCTCGCGTCATTCTGAAATTAACCTTCATTTCCAAAATGAAATGTAACATTCATGATGACACGAGCTCCCACAATAAAGTGCACAGGTAAATAAAAGAAAAACTTGATAGAAATCGTGTTTTCATGATCCTAGCAAACAAATGTAATTATAAGTATTGAATGCTTCTTTTAGTAATTTTATAGGGTTGTAAAAGCATTGACAGTGCGCACATTTTTAGAATGAAGCGCGGAAGCGCTTTCATACAACATGTACTTCGGTCAACGCTTTTACACCCCTATAAATTTACAAAAAGAAGCATTCAATTCTTAAATGAAGTTTGTACCAAATATTTATAAAGAAAAATGTATGAGCTTGATGATTTTGACATTCAATGTTCAAAAGTTATTCCCCTTAGTTACTAAATTTTTTATTTATTTTTGCTTTTCAGGTTTTAATAAAAGTTTATACCGTTTGACAAAATATTTTTTAGATTTTATCACAATATTATGAAACATAGAATACAGGTCACAATAAATTTTATATTTGGGTTTTGCATTTTCTTTAAAGAGTTTTTTTTCTGCAAGCGAGGATATCTGATTGATTGACTTTTGTTTGTTGAACGTCGAGTGTTAAATATTTCATGCATGTTCAGGACAATGGATCACTAGATCACCTAATATAAAAAAAAGAAGATGTGGTATGATTGCCAATGAGACAACTCTCCACAAGAGACCAAACGACACAGAAATTAACAACTATAGGTCACCGTACGGCCTTCAACAATGAGCAAAGCCCATACCGCACAGTCAGCTATAAAAGGCCCCGAAATGACAATGTAAAACAATTCAAACGAGAAAACTAACGGCCTAATTTATGTACAAAAAATGAACGAAAAACAAATATGTAACACATAAACAAACGACAACCACTGAATTACAGGCTCCTGACTTGGGACAGGCACATACATACAGAATGTGGCGGGGTTAAACATGTTAGCGGGATCCCAACCCTCCCCCTAACCTGGGACAGTGGTGTAACAGTACAACATAAGAACGAACTATAAAAATCAGTTGAAAGAGGCTTAACTCATCAGATGGATAAAAATACAAATACTACAAATACAAGTGGACGTGGCCGGGTACTTGTACATCCAAACAACAAAAAGACACTAAGTACAGATCTGAGAGTACTCGCAGTTATTGACAGCTAGTTCAAAGCCACTAACAACTAATAAAAAAAAATCATGCATCTAAGACTAAATTATCAATCCGTACACATCCAACATCCAATGGATTTAGTGTAAAGACGTCATAAACAGTCAGAGAAAAACATGACCTTGTGCAATGCCAAGATACAGGTATCGACAGATTGTAGATCCATGAATGTGTATATGTATATAACAATAATATTTAGTTTGCTTTTAATTTACTAATAACAAAATCAATATTAGTACCAATAAAAACAACATTTAATGATCTAATTACAGTGTTGAATTGGTAACCTTTTAGAATAAGTTTATTTAAAGGATCGATAAGTTTACCAGGATCGTTTCTAAATTTCCGGGCACGGTAAACAATATTGCCGTAAAAATGAGGATGTGCAATCCCGTTTGAAATAAGTTTTCTACAGATACAACCAAACTTCAAAACCAAATCTTTATATCTGTGGAAGAATTTAGTAAAGGTTTTAAGTAATTTGTGGTAACGAAATCCCTTGCTTAATAATTTACCAGTAATACATAGATTACGTTCGTTAAAATCAAAAACGTCACAACAGACACGAGCATAGCGAACGAGTTGTGAAATATAAACACCGTAAGATGGTGCCAAAGGATCATCACCATCCAAAAAGGGAAAATTAACAATAAGGAACGAAAAATCGTACCTTTTGTCGTAAATTTTAGTGTGGAGTTTCCCGTGTAAAACCGAAATATCTTAATCTAGGAAAGGACAGTTGTTACCGTTTAAATTTGATTTATTTAAAGTAAGTTCCTTTGGGTAAATTTCGGCAGTATATTGAGAAAATTCTTGATTATTTAACGAAAAAATATCATCAAGATAACGGTAAGTGTTGTTGAATTTATCAATTAAATGCAATTTAGACGGGTCTTTACTGAGTTTGGTCATAAACTGTGATTAATAACAGTACAAAACAAGTCTGCTATTAAAGGGGCGCAATTAGTGCCCATAGGAATACCTACAACCTGTCGATAAACTTTGCTGCCGAAACGTACATAAATATTATGTAAATCTACTTTTTACTTGGCATCGTTCTTTCCTGGTAAGATATAACACAATTTTCTGACAAAAATCGTCATTTAAGGACAATTTCTCATAAGTCATCCAATGCATGGTTTCGGTGACATTTTTATAGCTCTTGTATTGTTGATCATTGTTGATGATTACAGTTTCTACCTATCTATTATAGTTTTTGAGATAATGGGCAGAAGACGAAATTTAAAAAAAAAAAAAACGTATTTCAGGGCAGAAACTCCTATAAGAAGCCGTTTGATAATTTTGGTGCCATTAGGAAGTAGGTAGGTTATTACATACTGAGCATTTATTTTGAAAACATTATCTTTTGATTTTCAAGATAATATTAAGATATTTAATGCATTTTAACCTTTTGTTCTAGTTTTTCTAGCCGTATTTGGCCATGTTTGTTGACTGACGGATATACCCTAAGGATCATTCATTTCAAGTTTGGCTGAAATTGGAATTGTAGTTTCAGAGGAGAAGTTTTTTTAAGATTACGACGACTACGACGACAGACGCCACGAATGATTGTACCGTTCCGTTCCCACACTGAAGTTAATTGCATATTCAGGACGCGAACATGTTGATGTTAAATGAATATGAAACCTGCTCACACGCTAATTGTCCGACATACTTTCATTACATTTTTTAATTTGCATATATTTTTAAAAAGTGGGACAATCGGGAAGACACCAAGTCAACAGCTTTTATTATGTTAGCACGGCAGCTGTCGCTCAAAAGAAGATCATTGTTCATTATAGTTTAAACATTATAGATTCGGAAAATCTAGATATATTAGACAAAACAACTATTTTTCCGACAAAAAGTAAGGATACTCGAGCTGTATTACTGGAGATGAAACAAAAAAGAGATAATTTTCTTAAAAATTTCATAGTAATTTCAGATAAGAAAATGTATATATCAAGTACTCTAACTATTACTAGGCGTTCAACATTGGCAGAAGCAGTCTTAATCTTTCAAAATAATTTTCAATAGGGGATTTGAACATCAAGGAATTTTTATACTAATTTTTCTGTAAAAGGGAGGGAGTATATGTCAACATTTTCACGTAAAGGAGAACATTATTTTAGTCTGTAAAACCTAAAAGTATAGCATTGCTCTGTTTCTTACATCACTTGCTAGTAAAGAAACTACCTAACAGCTGGTTTCCACCTTTAAACTTGGAGGACAACCATTAAACTTTTAGGGGGGTTATGTTTTTTACTACAAAACATATTCTGATCCCAACTTTGAAGAATAAAATATTTGAACTGGGAGAATGAAAATAAAGATTCTGATTGAGAGTGTTGTCATTAAATTAATTTAATGTTAATTTCTTTAAAGATAAATAATTTGATGCGTGCGTGGTACGAAAAATGTATTAGAATGAATAAACCCCTCTGCCTACCCCTCAAAGTTAAATGGTTGTTCCCTTAAATGCGTCAAAATTCAAAATCAAAGTCAGTGATTTTTTAAATATATATATATATATATATATATATATATATATATATATATATATATATATATCAGTAACACTTCGATCCTGTTGGGGTAGGGTGGGCAGCTGAAACATCCAGTTTCCGACCCTTGTCACATATTTTTTTATAACAAAAATACATAAACTATCATGTATTTTTTGACAATAATATATCAGTAGCTAAAAATGACGACCTGTTCCTGCGGCTCATCCCTACCACTCTTTACATGGTTAGTCCCCCCTTTTCCTCCCGAGGTCGGCCCCTATGGTATTTGTAAAATTACTGTCACATCTTTCAAGTGGATAATTTCTATTTAAATACTTTTATCTAAAAAAAATCCCCACCAATCTCAAATATCAGTCGTGTTAAGCGAGTGAAAGGAATTCTTTCGGAGTCCTGAATACAAGTTCCCCTATTTTACACAATATTTACTGACAAAAGCACATTACTCTCTAACCTAAACGGATTCAGAAACAAGACTGGGCTGTTTCCTGAAATAATAAACACGACAAGCTTTCCTATGTTTCACTGATCACAAAGCATGTCGATCAGATTTCGATATGATAAAAAAATATGTTAGCAGTCCAATTCTGTTTTTCAAAAATATTCTTTAGAAATTACATTCAGCCGTGAGGATGAATTGGGTGTGAGAGAACGGAGGAAACGGATCTTAATCAAATTTTACAGAAAAAAACAAATATTTATAAAACCACCTACCTGAAAAATTGAACTTAAAATATCTGCCCGTTTCAGTTTGTCGTGTGTGTAGAGATGACCAGCAAACAAAAACCCAAGGACAATGAATATTGCTAGACTGTGAAACTTTAGAGTAAATCGACGATACCGGATCATTGTGTATAACAAGTAATCCTAATTTCTATCAGATGTTCGAATGTATTTTTAAAATAACACACATGCTGTCCGTTGATCAAACTATCTCCGGTATTATTAGCACCTTTCCAACTGTAATACTGTAATGTGAATAAATAAAATTAACAAGTAAAGCCTGATAATTCATATGCATCTTGTGTATTGATATATATATATATTTATATATTGTTTGCAATCGTAAGATGTTCGATCAATAATGACTGGCCTAGCTGCACTCTGTATAATTATCCATCTGTTTGTATGAATCTATTTGTATGTCCCGTGTTTTAATTATCTACATGAAAAATCTAAATCATATACACATGGTAGAAACTTCGGACACAATCGCCGATTCATCCTTTACAAAATGTTAAAACCATATATCATTGCGCGTACTCATCGGATACAGCACCCTTGTGCACATTTGTCTGTTAAAATTATTTCTTTTATTATCATCAACGATAGAATGTGTAACGAGAGAGATCAATACACGGCACACAAATTAACGAAGACATTGCGCCAAATGAACGAAGATGTTGAAACTAAAGCGTGAACACTGCATTTTAATCAGATTGAAATAATCGTAAAAGACATTTATAAATTCAAATTGAGGTTTAGTTTAACACCTCACATTATTTCCATTGTCATTCAAGGCAATTTGAATTTTGAATAAGCTTTGAAGCCTTCCTTTACGCTTCATGCACACATATATCTCCAAGGCAATTTAGAATTTGTTAAAAACAAATATTTGTAAAGATTTTTGAAATAAATATGGAGCGTAAACGACCTAAGAAGACCGATCTTATCTGCAACGCTAGTAATAAAAGATAAAAATATACGAACAAGATGAAATGCCTTGAAATCGTATCGACAAATATTTCGGCATATCAAATGGCCTTCATCGTTCTGGCTGCCACGAAATATATAGTGCTGAAAGTAGCGGTAAACACAATTGTAACATGAATCTTCTTTTTTCCTTTGATCTTTTTATGGAATAAGATAGAGACGACAAGCATGTACAATAATGTATGCTCTAAACTGAAGCAACCAAATAATATTGCATGAAAGGTCACATGGGCCTATATAACTCAATGAGAAAACAGCCATGAAATAACCAACAACACTAAAACCAATATTGCATGGGTAAGCTCCGCCTCCTTAGGAAAAGATGACGCCTACAAAAAACCACACACATCAATGTCAGTTTTATTAGGTTTCAAATACAAAATACAAATTTAAAGGAAATTTCTGCAGATTTTATCCGTCAGGCAAGAGAACAAAAAATATAATGTCCACTCCTAAATTTCAAGAAGTAGCCGAAAAAAATAAACATAACTTCTGTCACTTTTGAAACAGAACATATTTGCAAAAAAAAAAAAAAACAACAACAATAATAAATCAAAATGAAATGTTGCTCAAGTTGCAATTTGAAAATGATCCTTTGACGTTTTATCGCTGGAATGGCCAACACGCTCGAGTTTTCCATTTGTCGCTTCAGTACCAGAATTTTCCTCATAAAATGGCGCTGGTGCAGTCCCGGTGGAATCTAGAGGCGGATTAAGAATTGGAAATCTCCTTGTCAAACGTTCCTAAATCGTAATAATCCACAGCTTGCGAAACACTCATGCCATAAAATGGTTCAATATTTTGATGCGTTTGAATTTGCGACAGATTAATATTTTCCTCTATTATTGCCGACGCGTCTGCTAATGATATATCTTCTCGACATCGTGAAGAACCTGCAAAACAGTAAAAAAATATTTTTAAAAATTCGTTTTAATAGAATAAAACATTTTCATTTCCGAAAATACATTGCTCATAAAGGGCATATAAATCAGATGATCGACATAATTGAAATGTATACTAAGCTAAAAAAATCACAGCAATATTTACCGATTTCCGATTAAAAGCCCCAAAAAAGGACAATAACCGCAAGTCAATCTAGTTTTATATAAAAAAAAATACACACCTGAGAGAGAACTATATCATCGCCTTCGATTTCTAGCTAATCTGGAAGGGGGAATACGTCTGCCATGCTTCCTAAAATATTTTGACACTGCGGTTTATTATATTTTGCCGCCAAACGATGTTTTGGAATGTGGGCGGGTCATTCATGTCACAAATCATTTATAGCAACGCCTTCCTCGTTAGCCAAATAAACTTCTCACGCTTCGCGTTCGAAAGTTTATTTGTCTAACTCGGAATACTATGCTATAAATATAACTTAATTTGTGTGAACTTTGAGATATACTTAATAGAAAGGGGATTTTCAGTAATTTCAATGTTTACCTTATTTTTAGGATAAAGCATGATACATGTCGAATATCCATTACATCTGTAAATGACATCAGGATGTGAATAGCTTCAAACATCTTATTATAGATTAAATTTTAATAACGATGAGTTCTTCAGGTGCGGATACAGAAAGTGAGGGCCCCTGTCAAGCCAACGTTTGGAGTGATTCTATGCATTTATCATATATGTTGCTCTATAAGGGGACGAGCCCCCTCCCTCCACACATAAATTTACCTCTCTTCTTATATATAAATTAACGATGAATGATATACTTATATATTATAGACCATGGCGTTTTTAAAACCGAATTAAGATTATATCTTAGATATTCGTAGAAGTGTGAATTAATATTTAAATAACATCTTAAAGAAAAAAATCTTTGGAGAGATGTCAATTTATAAGTGCATTTTAAAAGCTTGATTGATTAACTTTAGCTAATATATTTATGTTTTATATTTTAACCACTCTTGTAAATATCTAATATCATTCCTTAACGAATGTTACCTTTTATCTTTATTGTATTATTATTTTTCGTTTATTTAAGTTCTAAATCCACTCTCTTGTCATATATGAAACATTTTATGTATAACTTCATGCGTTATTTAACATTGAATACATTTCAAAAATTGAAATATGGAGTATCTGGATTGACATGTACAAAAATAATATTCAATATATATCACTGAAAACTAACTTTTACCCCCGGGTTTGAACTTTAACGTTTCAGCTAATAATCACATCAGGTGACATCACATCGTCGTTTTTACAGATGGAGATATATTCAGTATCAAAGTCCAGCATATATTTTTTGTTTGTGTTGCAATGAACGTGAAATATTATACAATTACGGTCTTTTGATGAGGTAGATATGTGGTTACGACGACCGAAGAGAATATAAGTTTTTCAAAAGTCAATTAAACCACATATTTACCGAAACAAAAGACATCAAAAGTGAGACGAAAGATACCAAATGGATATTCAAACTCACAAGTCGAAAACAAACTGACAATGCCATGGCAATACACGAAAAACGACGAAAAGACAAACAACAGTACACAAAACACAACATAGAAAACTAAATACTGAGTAACACGATCCCCACCAAAAACGGGGGTGATCTCAGGTGTTCCGGGAGGGTAAGCAGATCATGCTCCACATGTGGCATCCGTCGTGTTGCTCCTGTTACTGTAAGTACAAACCAGGCGATAAGTCTAAATTCGATATGTTACATTCGAGGAAAAGAGGAAACAGTTATTGTTTTACTCCATATTCGTAACCAAATGTACATCAAACATTATACCAATTAAAGGTGAATATCATTGTTATTCGGTTGAAAATGCTGTTTTATTCAAAATCCAATTCATATAGAAAACCCTACTATAATTGTACCTATATGGAATAACAATGAATATTGTAAATCATTAGTGTAAGATGCTCATTTTCCATCAATGCGTATATATGTCTGTAATGGTGCTTGACGATGTAACATTTTTACATCTCATTATTTACAAAACATGTCTACGCGTCTGTGGCTATATAAACGAATAACTGCACTTTAGACAAGGGACCTCGGTGATAGAATGGTTTAATTAGTTCATCTACTGTTGGAACCCCGCACGTGACGTGTGCGTTCGACTCCGATCTTAAGGGCATACGATACAGTTTTTATCCCACGGTGAATTTTTGACTAAAGTTTGCATACAAGCTGTTTTCACCTAGTCAATTCAAATATGTAATAAAAAATATACCTTCATGTGCTACTTTTAGAGATAAATGGGGTAGAAATTTTAGACATTTACTGGAAATTTCGGTTTCTTTGAAATGTCTATCCTTTGTGAAGACATACCTAACTTTTTTGTTTCAAAAGATAAACGCAAGCGGACTTTTGTAAAAACATCTGTAATATCTTCTCTACAGAAGTGTGCTTTGAATTTGTGTAACACTTCTTTGGAAATAATCGATTTATTCATATTTTCATGATTTTTGTCAAAAAACGGAATTTTTTGCTGTATATCTATCTAATTTAAAAAAAAATTCATCGGTGATTTGTTTATAAAAAATGGCAAAAATAATCTTTATACATAATCAAGCCAAATGTCATTTTTAAAAAGAGGGGTCCATGAACTCGTTTTAAAGTTAAATCAGTCTGAATGATAAAAATCAGTCGAAGAATGCATCTTTTCGCGATATGTCACAGTTTGACGTCGCGAAAAATAACATTTTACGTTAGCAACGTCGTTACCTCCCCTGTAACTGTATCGTATGCCCTTAATTGAATGGGGGACTGTCAGTTTTCCTGCCGATTGTCGGTGGTTCTATCAATCAATCAATCACTTAAGGAATTTGTGAGCAAAACAAATAGTTCAATTACTTGAAATATAATTGTTAATTTCTAACATGAGACAATATCAAACATGAAACAGTCAGGATCTGTATTGCTGTGGCTCATCATGGAAGTTGTTAAAACTTCACATTGATAGTTCAACAGTAGATAATAAAGCTTCATTGAGCATCGCCCAAAACGAATGACGTTAGCTCAAGATATACCAGAGCATATAGAAATATAAAAAAAAACCTTACAGTTTTTATTTTATTTTTTTGTATCTCTTAAATAAAGCTTGTTTTGTGAAGGTTTGTATAGTACTCGAAAGCAATAAGTCCAATCCATTCTCTGTACGATGAGTTTACCATCAGACGATAAACGTATACATGTTGCTTTATTGTCTAACGTTACATCGATGACTTATTGACAACTGATCTGCACATTTGTGCATCATTGTTGCAGATATCATTACACCAAAAACATTTTGAAAAATCGGATATTTAATTTAAAATAGTTTGCAATACAACATGCGTTCTATTTTCTATTTTGTATCCAATTTAAAAAAAAGAAAAAAAGTACATATTGTTACGCCCCTCTAGGTTTGACATTTTTAGTTGTGTTCATATATAGGCGTATTTACACTTGTATGCAAATTTGTCCGCCATTACGTAAAGTCACACAGGTAAACTTTGACATCATAATTCAAAACATTTGACGTCACAATTAAAAAGTGATTGTTGCCTGACGTCAAAAGGTGATTCGGAGTAGATCTAAGGTCATTCGGAGGCAAAATATAGCTAAATACCAAAAGTGTAAATCCGTTTATTATTACTGCGGTCTCCGTTCCACACTTGGTACATGCAGATGTCCGTTGTTGTGTTCTGATCCGTATTTTACAGAAGAAATAGCCTACCTGGACCTCACATTATCTAATGACTTCCTAAAATCTACATATAGACTTTATTTATGAGTGTAATTGTTCATTTTGTATTTGTTTACATTTAGTTTCATTGCAACGCGCCAAATGTAACGTTATGTGTTCCTGTTCTTTTATGAATAACTTTACATCACCAGTAAACCGACGCTTTTGTATAAAATGCGGAATGCAAGTTCCAACTGGGAGATTATCTCCCAAGATTCAAGATTATCCATGCGGTTAGCAGTATATCTCAAACAATGTTTGCTGCACCAAGTAAGAATGCTTGGTGACTTATATTCAATAGACTTGATAATTAGCCAAGTCCTCATATCCAAAATGCTGACGTACTGTTTGCTCGGGTAAATCGCAATCGGCAATCCTCGGGTGACTCCGCTACTCTCCTTCTATGAGGTACGGAATCGGCCGAGTTATGACGAATGGGGTAAATCGCTAACCATGCACCGAGTATCTGAATGACCCTGAATGCAGTGAACCAGGTAGATTTTCCTGCACCAAGTAATGCGAAGTATTAGAATGCAGTGTCTCAAGCAGATTTTCTTGCACCGAGCGCTAGAACTTAGAAGAATTTTTTTATTAAACTTGGTGCAAGTAATGCACCTTGCTGTATTACTTGTATAAATATATTATGAATGTATTTTATTTCATCTCGTGTATATTTTATGAACCACTGTATTTGTTGTATTGCATATCAAAATTACTGAAACAGAAAATAATACAATTTATGAACTGCATTTATGATTTTTATTATTACTTCCTTCACCGGAGGCCAACATAAGTAACGCCGGGAATCCTGATTCGAAAACCCCGGAACGCTACACTGGTGTCAGAAGTGGGATCAAAATCATTAATTTTAAAAATTATCTGGTGTAAGTTTGAAAAATAAAAATCATTTTAAAATGGATGATTCTTTGCAGTCTGATATAATTAGATTTAGTCCAACTGATAGATCATCAATTGCTAGTGATGATATATAGGTGAGTAATACACATGAAATGAGAACAATCTAATAGTTCACCAGCTATTTCTCAGTCAGTAGGAGCAATATTTGAATCACTCACAAATGAAATAAGAGATACATTTCGTATGGTGACAAATGAAAGACGGGGGGAAAGGGGAAAAGGGGGTGGGGGTGGGGGGGGGGGGGGGTAGGCATCTATCATGATCATGTTGATATTGTACCCCCCATCTTTCAAAGTCTGTCAAAAATTCCCAACGGCAATACTTTTTTACACACTAGGTGCAAATGATAGGTAAAGGTCTATGGTCCATTGAGCCAAAAGGCCCAGGTTGGACAACTCATGGTTTGTCTTTACCAGAGGACCAAACTTAGGTCTAAAGAGTCTTAAACGCCTACCCCTCACTCCACCCCCATCTTTCAAAGTCTGTCAAAAATTCCCAACGGCAATAATAAGTACTATTTCTAAACCTTACAATGAGCAACACAATTGGACGATTCAGTTATCCCGTAGTTATCATTATACTTCGGTGGGGCACATGTATACCTTTGTTTTCACTTTTGAAAAGGGAATTAAAATACTGGTATATAATTCTTCATTTAACATCTTCTTCTTAATTTTACAATTGCATAGTTTGATATATTTTAAAAACAATTCTGTTGAATTTAAATCTTATGCATCTTTTAGGATTTTAGATTTATCTTTAAAGTGGCTGCTAGCGTAGTGGCTGCTAGCTTGAGCCTGGTTCTCTTTTTTTTTGGGTATTTTATACTAAACATAGTATGCTATACATGCTATATTGAGAGGGCGCTTTTTTTCCTTTAAGTGAACACCAAGTGACTTCCTTCTAAAGTCGGATATAGATAAATCTACAAAAGATCAATACCGTAGATGACAAAATACCAGCAAAAAAGTACAATATCAACATGATCAACGTAAATCATACATGAAAACGGTCGTTGATATGCAGTGCGTACGGTTGCTAGGTAGTTTCTAAGCATACAACAAGCTAACAAAATGTAAGATTTGTACAATTGCCGTTTAAGTACCTACAATAGAAACATATAGCTTTGGTTTATAACACATTATTGATTACATAAATCTTGAGCAGATACCAAATGTTGTGGTTGCTTAGTATAAGGTATTGTTGCTAAGGGTCATTCTGGTGGTTAAGGTGTTGATATATACTCGTTTAAATAATATTAATAAATAAAACGTAACTGTTTGAGATTTCCATGAATGTATTATACAATGATACATTTTGATTCATATGGAAAAAACGCATTTTTTGATAAATAAGGTATATAATAGTATATTAATGGCAGATTTCAAATCTGTTGCTAGGCAACCAAAAAAATGATAATACAAAAAATTGTCATTTTTTTAAATTTCTAAATCTAGTCTATTGAAATTATAAAAAGCAGGGGCCAAAAATGACCCTTATTGTACCTTGTCCTTTATCTTTAACGCGAAAATTTACTTTAAACGCGTTGAAAGTATACTTTTTAAACTTTTAACGCGTTACATCTTCTCTTAACGCATTTAACCTTCTTTTCTGACGCGTTAATTATTGTTTTAACGCAATAAGTAATCAATGACAATAATATCTAAATGTGCTGAAAATCTTTAAACATTATCGTGTTAATTGACGAAGATGTGACACATGCAGCCATTTCATTTAGTAAGTTTCAAGTAAAATTTGACGTCTTTAAGGCGAAAGTAGAATGCTTTTTCGGTCATTTTTTGAAGTTTAGTGCTTAACGCGTTAAATAATCAATAATCAATTAACGCGTTAAAACTGTATTGATCGCGTTAAATGTGATTTGATCGCGTTAATTGTTAACGCGTTATTTTATCTTTTTTTTTTACATGAACGGCCTTTCATAAAAGTCTGCCCCAATGTCATACTAAAAGTTCACTAATGAGGAAAAACTTACTAGTCAAAAAGTTGGATGATCAGCATTATTTATAATATAAGTTAAGTTTATACAAGCACCTCTCTCTTCCAAAAACGGAAAAGTGTAGTTAATTCAAATATCAGATTAGAATACAACAAAATAGCTATGTATATGCTTCATCAACATATAAAAGTCACTTCCTTTAACGATGGAAGTGAAATGAAATATAATACTTCCATGATTTAACAAATCCAGTCGTTTATGTAGGAAAACAACTTGCTAAATCATTTAAAATTCCCTTAGAAAAAGATGACGTAAAAAAAGAAAATTCGGCACTTGTCTAGTGTTTGTTATTCTTTTTTTTCCTCCCATTTATTTTCATTCTCTGATTTTATTGGCCTTTTTTTTATTAAACAACCTTTTCAACTGATGATCTTCAAGTAGATATGATTTAAGGAATCTCCGAATGGTTTTTAGATGACGATGTTCACAATGATGTCTGTTTGACATGTTTAATTCAATGCATTCTGTTATTTTCATGTAATGAAAATAAACACTTTGTACTCAAAATTTTGGGAATATTTTCATTGTAATTTTCATGGTCCAGTACTGAGTCATGTCAGTAACTTCCGAATTTTGACCCTGTGGAGGAAAGTTGGCTATATATCTTTTTCGTCTTGTTCGAATACTTGGTCTAGTCAACTTTTCGATATGTGGCGTAGATACTAAGTCTTGGGTCTTTGTAACAGCCGTTTTGACGTTAAGGGCATACGATACAGTTTTGATCCCATGGTGATTTTTTACGAAAATTTGCAAACAAGCTATTTTTTACTTAGTCAATTCAAATATGAAATAAAAATATACCTTTATGTGCTAAATTTAGACTGATAAATGGGGTTGAAATTTTAGACATTTACTTAAAATTTCGGTTTCTTGGACATTTCTATCCTTTGGACAGACCCACTTAACTTTTTTGTTTAAAAAAATAAACATATGCGGATTTTTGTAAAAAGATTAGGAATATCTTCTATACAAAATTATGCTCTAAATTTCTGTAACAATTCTTTGTAAATAATTCATTTTAATTAAATTTTCCACATTTAGACAAACGGGATTTTTTGCTGCTTATTTACCTAATTTAAAAAAAAATTATCTGTGATTTTTTCATAAAAATTGGAACAAATACTCTTCATACAGTATCGATTCAAATGAAGAGGGGTCCATGTGCTCGTTTTAAAACTAATTATTAAAAAACACTCGAAAAATGCATCTTTTCCCGATATGTCGCAGTTTGACGTCGCGAAAATAACATTTTACGTTAGCAACGTCATTACCTTCCCTGTAACTGTATCGTATGTAAGCTGGTTCTCGGCTGACTACTACACTTTGTTCATAGACGTTTGAGTGTAGCTTAAAACAATCGGATTCCAGTTTATATCGTATGCCCTTAAGATATGACGAAAGCCTATTAGGGTCACAAAAAAAATATTTTTATCTCGTAATTACGAGATAATCATAGTTTATCTAATAGGCTTTCGTAGTCTCGTCTACACACACAATAAAATTTATTTTAATATGAGGTAGGTGTAACCTGTGAATGGGAACGAAGTCAGCAAACCAGTTGGCAGTTACCTGTATGGCTATAGAATACTTTATAAATATGCGTTTTCAACAAATTTATATATATAACATGTATTGAATATTGTAATGTAACTTACAGTTGTAAATGATCCAAGTTGTCACCAAGTTCTATGATTCAGGTATAATCAGATAATTTCTCTCAGTATTCCAACGACTGTATGTAATTTAGTTCCCTGTTGATACACATAAAATCGGCAAGTTATTTTTTGTCCACAAATTGAAATATGTTTAAAAAGGAATGTCTCCTATTTGTAAATACATTCACACAGTGACTTAAGAATACCTATCACACATATTTATTTAACTGATACCCTGTTAATTTTATTGATAATGTTTAACAGTTGCAAAATAATCATGGTTAACTGTTAAAGAACAAACAATTTTAACTGTTAAATTATGCAAAAAATAAATTCTGTTTGGAAAATATGAAAAACTTAAGTTATATATGTTATGACCTTCAAAGTATTTAACTTTCTGTTATCCGCTCAGGATGAGACATATGCACTGTTGTACATGCACATGCAGAAAAGAAAAGAACTTCAAAGAAGAACAATTGTAAAGATTTCAGAACAAGCATACATTTCTCAATACAACAATCAACAGTCAACATGACTGTTACAACAAATTGTGTCTTACTCGGAGTTGACTGTAATTTCTTCGTTATACATGTACATGAACTTGATCCGACATGGTTCATGATATTGTCACTGGTTGTACTGTCAATATCTCTTTGGAACCCTTGGGCCTTACTTAACAAGGGGAGTTACTTGATATATTTTATAATTTACAAAATAAACACATTAAAATTGTCTGCATGCTTAAACAAAAACTTTAAAGAGATGCAGTTACATATGCTACATACATTGTTGTATATTTATATATATGGTTCCTAGTTGTTAAAGGGTTAATTGTGCTTTTATCATTAATAACATGGAAATGTTTATCACTGAATTAAGACAAAATAACTAATACATAAACTATATATCTACGGTAACAATACAGCATACGCTTGATTTATATATATATATATATATATATATATATATATATATATTTAGACTTGTTTATATTTTTTCGTTTGTGCTTGTATTATATTTTCCTTCGGGTTTATATGATCCGTTCATCCTATTTCTGATATTTCGACTCTTCAAAATTCAAGAGTCTATGCTAAATTGAGGTAAATTATATGGCCTTCCAAATACCGTTTCGATCCGTAACATCACTGAAGAGACATTAATTGTCGAAATCCGGATATGGTGTACTAATTTTTGCACCTTTTGTTTGCGGTATACCATCTTTTCCGCAAATTTATTGTTTTCTGTTTGGTATTAAATTAATAATTTTGAAAGATCCATTTTGTAACATCTTGTGATCCGTTTATTTGGCAATCGCCAATGGCAGTCAGCAGGCTTTAAAAACATCTGTGATTCGACCTGATAGTCAAATGCGTTTTGTTAAAATATACTTTTTCACTTTTTTGGTCTTTTGGAAAGTGTTGTTTGTGCTGTATTTAGACCCCTCTATCAAGAAATTTGTTTTGCATGCACACGTATAAAAAATGCGGTTTTTATCCAACGCAATCATAGGTTTGAACGTTGTTTTCAATTTAGACTTGTTTATATTTTTTCGTTTGGGCTTGTATTATATTTTCCTTCGGGTTTATATGATCCGTTCATCCTATTTCTAATATTTCGACTCTTTAAATTTCAAGAGTCTATCCTAAATTGAGGTAAATTATATGGCCTTCCAAATACCGTTTCGATCCCTAACATTACTGAAGAAACATTAATTGTCGAAATCCGGATATGGTGTATTAATTTTTGCACCTTTTGTTTGCGGTATACCATCTTTTCCGCAAGTTTATTGTTTTCTGTTTGGTATTAAATTAATAATTCTAAAAGATCCATTTTGTAACATCTTGTGATCCGTTTATATGGCAATCGCCAATGGCATTCAGCAGGCTTTAAAAACATCTGTTGTTCGACCTGTTAGTCAAATGCGTTTGGTCTTTTGGAAAATGTTGTTTGTGCTGTATTTAGACCCCTCTATCAAGAAATTTGTTTTACATGCACACGTATAAAAAATGCGGTTTTTATCCAACGCAATCATAGATTTGAACGTTGTTTTCAATTTAGACTTGTTTATATATAAATATATATATATATATATATATATTAAATGACTGAATAATAGCCAACGATAAATCTTACGGGGCGATGGGTAATAAAATTATGATACAGTACACTACAAAATATAATATATAACAAGTCTAAAAGGGTACAACATCATCAAATCAAAGTACTGAAGTACTGAACATCGGATGACCGCAAGTTATTGTGGATTGTCAAAAGCACTTGTCACAGAAAAAAATCACATCTCTATACCTGAAACTGAGGTTAATGTACAGAGATATTTTTTCTGAGACAAGTTCGTGCGTGGATGATGAATAAATCACAGGAAATTCAACCTCACCGTAATAACTATTATATTGTAGTGATACAAATCAGTATACACTGGTTTGTTGTTATATATTATATTAATATAACAGTTACATGTATATATAATTTTCATCCATTTGTATATCATTCTATTCTACTGTTCTAATAAGAGTGCAGTGCAAGTGCATGGTGGACACTCTTCTGTAAAAATTCGATTTTTCTTAAAGATTGGATATGAGTAGGCATTCATATTTTCCCGCAAAAACAACTTCCATGCAGAGTTACCGGTCCTTGCCGGGATTGTCGCAAAATGTTCTTGAGATATTCTTCCGCATGTTTTACCATATCAATGATTTTTTACTTATATATGTATATCTAACGACAAAACATTTTCATATTATAAATTTATGTTCTAAACAAAAATATTGTTATCAGTATGTATTTATAACAAACGATAAGGAATGTTATTTTGCACTCGTTAATATCCGCGTATTTATCATGTTTATAGATCGGTTACAAACCCAAAACGAAAGTTACGTAATGGAAATCTAGGCGATAGCAATACATCGGAATGCCCTCACGGTCATCGCGATGTAAAAATGATTAAATCATGAACACATTTTAGATATTTCGGATAACTAATATCTTTCATCAGTAAGATGTAAAATAAATCATTTCTTGACATGTGGTAGTCAAAATGAAATAAAAATCTTGAATGCTATACAAATTATCAATAATCAGTACGCTGGTAACTTTTTTCAATATTGATGTTTGGGAGGAGGAATAAATTTCTTAAAACTGTAAGAGTCCAAAACGGAAGCCTGAGTTACTGGAAACAAGTGATGGTAGGGGAAATGAGTGACACATTCTATGTTTTTTCATTTATGCCCTCTGGGGAAACTGTCCTAAGCTTTCTTATCCAAAACCTTTCCCGAGCAAGTCTGTCGGCCCTTGACCAACCCTCGTTGTGGTCTATGATAGTGATGGTAAGGTTTTTGAGATCAGCTTGGGCGTGCCCAGGTGATCTCAAATGACGACCTACGGGGAGGTCGGGCTTGCAGGTGTAGTCACTTCGATGACCATTCATGCGTTTGTTGAATGGCTGTTCTGTCTCGCCAACATACTGCATGCCACATCGACACTGAAGAAGGTATACAATATTCTGGGTTTTGCAAGTTACATTGCAAAATATAGTGTACACAGACCCGGTGAAGTGGCAAGTAAATGTTTGAGTATTCAGTATTTGTTGGCAAGTCAGACATCGTCTGTTACCACACGACTTGCACCATCCTGCAGTTGAACAGCTTTTATTATGCTGATGGCTCCTCTAATAAAAGCTGTTCAACTGCGCTTTCCAAATACAGTTTCGATTCCTAACATCACTGAAGAGACATTAATTGTCGAAATCCGGATATGGTGTACAAAAACCTTTGCACCTTTTGTTTGCGGTATACAACTTTTCCGCAAGTTTATTGTTTTTCTGTTTAGTAATAAATTTATAATTAAGATCCATTTATTACATCGGTGATCCGTTTATTTTGGCAATCGCCAATGGCTGCAAGCAGGGTTTTAGAACATTTGTTGTTCGACCTGTTAGTCAAATGCGTTTTGTTAAAATATACTTTTTCACTTTTTTGGTCTTTTGGAAAATGTTGTTTGTGCTGTATTTAGACCCCTCTAACTAGAAATTTGTTTTGCATGCACACGGATAAAAATTGCGGTTTTTATCCAACGCAATCATACTAGGTTTGAACGTTATTTTCAATTTAGACTTGTTTATATTTTTTCGTTTGGGCTTGTATTATATTTGCCTTCGGGTTTATATGATCCGTTCATCCTATTTTGACTCCACAAAATTCAAGAGTCTATCCTAAATTGAGGTAAATTGTATGGCTTTCCAAATACCGTTTCGATTCCTAACATCACTGAAGAGACATTAATTGTCGAAATCCGGATATGGTGTACAAAAACCTTTGCACCTTTTGTTTGCGGTATACCATCTTTTCCGCAAGTTTATTGTTTACTGTTTAGTATTAAATTTATAATTAAGATCCATTTATTACATCGGTGATCCGTTTATTTGGCAATCGCCAATGGCAGTCAGCAGAGTTTAAGAACATTTGTTGTTCGACCTGTTAGTCAAATGCGTTTTGTTAAAATATACTTTTTCACTTTTTTGGTCTTTTGGAAAATGTTGTTTGTGCTGTATTTAGACCCCTCTAACAAGAAATTTGTTTTGCATGCACACGGATAAAAATTGCGGTTTTTATCCAACGCAATCATAGGTTTGAACGTTGTTTTCAATTTAGACTTGTTTATATTTTTTCGTTTGGGCTTGTATCATATTTTCCTTCGGGTTTATATGATCCGTTCATCCTATTTCGACTCTTTCAAAATTCAAGAGTCTATCCTAAATTGAGGTAAATAATATGGCCTTCCAAATACCATTTCGATTCCTAACATCACTGAAGAGACATTAATTGTCGAAATCCGGATATGGTGTACAAAATTTTGTACCTCATGTTTGCGGTATACCATCTTTTCCGCAAGTTTATTGTTTTCTGTTTGGTAATAAATTAATTATAAGATCCATTTTGCTACATCTTGTGATCCGTTTAATTGGCAATCGCCAATGGCAGTCAGCAGGGTTTAAGAACATTTGTTGTTCGACCTGTTAGTCAAATGCGTTTTGTTAAAATATACTTTTTCACTTTTTTGGTCTTTTGGAAAATGTTGTTTGTGCTTTATTCAGACCCCTCTAACAAGAAATTTGTTTTGCATGCATTCGTATAAAAATTGCGGTTTTTATCCAACGCAATCATAGGTTTGAACGTTGTTTTCAATTTAGACTTGTTTGTTGTATATATATATATATATGTCTGGAAATCAATCTGCATATATATATAGGCAGCATTAT